AGATATTACAATAAAAGCTATTTTGTTCTCCTTCAGTATCGCACCAGGAGTATTCCCATCATTAAATCCAACAAAGCATCATCTGAAAGTACCACTCGTCGCATTATAATATATGGAGTCCAGGACGAGAATGGATCCAATGTCCAGAATTTTGCCTTGGATATCACTCCCCCTCCTGAAGTGATTTACAAATCTGAACCAGGCACTAGTGACGGCATGAATGTACTAGGGATTGTGATATTCTCTGCCACAATGGGTAGGTTTCAGACATGTTTGGTTTGTAAAAATTAAAGTATTCACTTAAGAGAAAAAGTTTGGGGTTGGGGCTTGGTTTCTTGATTCAGCTTTTTTAACTGCTTCTGTCTGGCCTTTGTGGGGGGAAAGACAAGACTTACTGAGCTGTCCTCCTGGCCCCTCAAAGACAAATCTTCAAAATCCTTGATGACTTTGTTCCATGCAGTTCTGTTTTCTGTGCATGCACTTATATTCTTTTTGGTTTATTTTTTTCTCAGTTATTTTAAGCTTTTGTTTATGAACCATTTCTTGATCACTGTAAGCAACACTAATCCAGTGTGCTCAGAGGAGGTGGGAATTACTATACCAGGTCAGACCCATGGCCTCTCTCAGGATTCTGTTTCACCCTCTGGACAGTAGCAAAAATCCCAGACAAAGTTTCAAGAAATTCTGAAATAAACAATTCCATAGCAGACTTTCTTTCCAAAGTCCGAGAAGTTAGTACACTTCTAATGCCCAGAGCTCCAGGTGTTCTATTACAGGAATAAAGAACTTCCCACACTGCTCTTGGTTCAGGGGGCATCAGGCTGAGACACCTCTAGCTCTGCTCTCATGGCTGGATGTCTCATCCCTGCAGCTGCCAGTTCAAGCAAAACCTGCTCCCAGACCGACTCCTTGGCTAAAATTTCCATCAACAGGCAGAAAATCACTTTAACCCTGGAGCCTGCCCTGCCTGTTGTCCTTACCCATTCTAAGTCACATTTTACCACAAGATTAGTGCAGAGTATAACTGTCACTGTAAGAACCCAACTCAGATAATGAGCCTCAGTGGGATATTGAATAAGTGAGCTACAAAGGTGTCTTGTCTTATGAGTTTTAAATCTGTGGATCTTCTTTTTTTTTTTTACTGAAACTTCTTGAGTTTATTTTTGCTATCCTGCATTGCTGAGAGCTATATACCATCTAGTAGCTTGTCACAATGGACTGTAAGAGCTTCTGTATGGCTTATTTATTCAGTTTAACTTGCTGGAGGGACTCATTGGTGCCATGTGGGTTATATTATGTTTCTGGATTTGGAAGAAGGAATTTAAACAGACATGTCTGAGTTAATCATAAAGTTCTGATGATTTTTACAAGAAAATGCTAATCAAATTTTCCTTACATAAATTTATTCTTGGAATTTAATATGGTCAGTAGAGGTAGTTCCATAAAACATCTTTGACTATATTTATTATATTATGGCTCATACCAGCACAAGGGATCAAAATTCAAGCCTGGAATTAATGGATTTGTCTGTGTTTTCCAATTTCTACAGTGGGTGGTATTCCATATGCAACCCTGCTGGAAACTGGCTGCCCCACAGTTTGCAGTATTTTATAGTCAATTTCCAAAGTACAATGTCACAGCAAACACTATTCCAGTCAAAATGTGTTTGATATGAACGGATTCATTACATGTGCTTATTAGGATCAAGGGCAATTTTATACTGCTGAGCACAGAAGATCATTCATTGTCTTGCCAGAACTGAATACATGACTTCTACCATGCCCCTCAGCCTTGCTGGCCTGGGGCTCAAGAGATAGAAGCTAAGAGGTGGTTTCTTCCTGGCTGATGTACAGAAAATATAATGCCAGTACTGTCACATGCAGCATGGTCCTGGCTCACCTGTGGCTGAATCAGCCTGAGGCACCAAACCCTCAAAACCCAAACAGCATAATAACATAAAGGGACAAGAATTTAGATTTGAGCTAACTTTTCATGAAGCACTAGATGAATATTTTAGTAATCTCAGTTCAGGAGTAAATCCTGTGTGTGAATGACTGGACTTCTTTGCCAGGTATGCATTACAATGTACAATATTTGGCAGGCAGTGTGTGAGAGAGGTCAAGACACATGTAGGGTCTTGATGCTGAGCTCAGCTGTGACTAGCTACACTACAGTGTGCAGGAGGTGATGACAGTGGCTAGCACTGAGACATCTGATCCTTTTTTCTTGGAGGAGCACACATTATTTATTTATTACAGGGAAAATGTCTGCACTGAAATGGACCTTGGTACATCAGGGCTGCAGACAGGAGGCCCCAGTCCTGCTTGCTCCTGTCTGTCCCCATCAGTACCCACATGCCTAGGTAGGACAGTGCTTGAAAGAGCAAACTGCAGCTATTCCTGTAAAATTAAAAAGAGGGCATTTCTTCTTTTTGGCATTATACAGATTTAGAAGGAAAGACACTTGTGAAACTGCCACTGACCAGGCTAGAAGAGCTGAACTATATTTAATGCCCTATTACTGCTTGCTCCTGTCTGTCCCCATCAGTACCCACATGCCTAGGTAGGACAGTGCTTGAAAGAGCAAACTGCAGCTATTCCTGTAAAATTAAAAAGAGGGCATTTCTTCTTTTTGGCATTATACAGATTTAGAAGGAAAGACACTTGTGAAACTGCCACTGACCAGGCTAGAAGAGCTGAACTATATTTAATGCCCTATTACCAAAGATACATGCTTAA